GAACACTATATTCACGTTTCTGAGTCAGGAGCGCGCTGCTTTTGGTCCGACACCACGTCTCCGAGAGACATGTCGTAGGCCTAGTATTGTCATCGTCTTCACCATTTGGCGAAGTTGAAGACCTCAGTAGTCAAGTCTACAAGGACCAAATACGTAATCGTTATTTATTACTCAAGTCCACGCTTGGCACTCAGAAGGTGTATATACATGTTATTTACGCACCTGATAAACCCCCAAGGCGTGGAGAATATTTTCGTGCACTTCTACTCGCTTCATATTCAACGACTCGGATGAAGACGACCAAGCAGCACACATTGTTATGGGTGACATCAATGTCACAATGTACTCTTTTCTGGATCAAGCATCACCTTCACAGTTTCACCCGGGCGCTGGAAGAGAAAAACTGGGTGATTGGCTTGACACGTTGGGATTAATCGATGCATGGCGCTTTGTGCATCAGGATACAAAAGACTACACAAGCCCAACGCGAATAAACCGACTCGATTACTGTTTTTTAACAGTTGATCTGGTACAGAATCATCTCGCTACGATTAATCATATGAGAGATCGAAAGTGGCATAACGAAGATCACATACCGGTGGGGTTTCGTCTTCAAGCGAAGTTTATACCAATAATGAGACGCGCGCCGTGGCGATGTCCTTCATGGCTCCTACGGGGTCCGGATGTCATCACTTATCTTACTTCGTCAGCTAAGCGACTAGCGGCACGTTTTCGTAACTTTGACGGCGCTAACCCAGGGTGTCTTCTGGATGAACACAAACGTTCAGATTGCATTTTTCTTCGGAGTCGGTGGGTTGATTTCGACAAGCTGATGCGCTTGAAATGACCATTAGAGTCACTGCAGTGAGCGATGCCATCGACCTCTTCAATCTGGCCCCGATAGACTGCAACAAGTCAGCATTACAACAAGCACAAGCTGATCTTAGTGCATACAAGATGACGATTCAAGAAAGGAACGCATTGAGCAAATTTGCAGCCGACTTACATCTTAGTGAGCGAGCAACGAAACACTTCTTTCGGCCACCAAAACAAGACTGTCTTAGATGCCCCATTACCGAAATTCAACGCGACGATGGGTCGAGGAGTGAAGACCCTGTTGGAATCGAGACGGGACACCGCAAGTTTTGGGGGCAGCTATTCCAATCAACTTCGCCGGATCTTCAGCATCTATGGGATGCTTCATATCAGCCGCTTCGATTAGCGCGAATGTTACGTCAAACAGTGGCTAGACTTACGACAGCCCAACAACGTCTGCTCGATGCGCCCATTACTGCAAACGACTTATACTGGGCGATCATGAAATCCACCAATGGAAAATGCCGGCCCCGACGGATTACCTATCGAGTACTACAAGATTTCGCCAAGTCTAAGGGCACGCAAATACGAAGTTATCCACGATATTCAGTTATCCAAGGGAAAGATAACTAAGGTTCAGCGACGGGCGCACCTTTCGCTGGTATACAAGAGTGGAGATAGAACGCAGCCTGGAAACTACCGTCCACTGACGCTGCTGAACCATGATGCTAAGCTTGGTCCTAAGAATCTGGCACGGAGGATGGGATTTGTGCTTCCTTCGCTGATTTCATAAGATCAAAGTTTGTACCTAACAGATCTATACGTCACTCTCTTGTTCGCTTCCAAGACTTACAAGAATTTTGCAAGCACACTTACCCGAACGCTTGTGCAGTTCTTATCGATTTTGCTATGGCTTTCGATAGCGTACTATGGCCAGCGTTGGACATCGTACTGCATCACTTTGGATTTGGTACGACTTTTCGAGCCTGGATTAAAACATTTTACAACCAGACTTCTGTTAGTTTGCTGTTGAACAACTCACCAGCAGATCCCTTTTTTCTGGGCGCTGGGGTACGATCTCCAGGACGTGTTGTTTCATTGAACCACTCATGAACTACTTACGCGCTCGAGTTTCGATGCGAGGATTGGATATCGACA